AATTCTTTTTTAAAGCCTCCAAAGAAAACTCAGTAGAATTCATATTAACCTTGAAAAACAGGTCTGTGCCATCTGACAGAGCAGGGCTATATTGGTAAATAAAACAGAAACCACAAGAGAATTAGGGATCTTTGCCCTCAGAGTTCCAAGAATCTTTTCAACTCACTAATTTCATTTCAGACGCGATGAACTATTTCTCGCCTCATCGATCACACCATCCTGAAAAATGAAAATATGCTCATGAAGACAGATGCCATTACAACAGGGTAATCTTCAGACCCCATGGGCTGAGTCACATGGAAGAGTAACTCCTGGGCCACAAAGTGGGCTATAAAGATGCTCCTGACATAATTCCTCCTACTCACTTCTAAGAGGTCGTGTGTACATAGAGAAAAGAGAAGCAGGAACCTACAGGTGAGAAAAGAGCAGGGACACAGTGCAACTTCCCAGAAACCGACTGAAAGGCATGAAGGACTACAAAAAATGGAGGAGGGAAAACCCTGAAGGGGGTGGACCCGAGATGAAGGTCCGAAAGGCAGGGGAAGGTCTCGTGTGGTAAGCCAGCTGGATGTATCTCACACCTGCTTTATCTTCGCCTTCCTGTTCTTTCCTTTCAGGATGTTCTCCCTTCAGAGATTCTTTTTTTTTTTTTTTTTTGATCACAGCTCTTTGAGATACTTTAATGAACCCTATAAATCCTATTCCCAGAGAACTGCACTTCTCCACAAAGCTGTGTCCACTTTCAAGGCATCTTAGGCTTCCTGAGGCTCCCTCAGGGGTTGAGAACCTACAGGAGAGTTAGAACCATAGTCCGCTCATACTCCAGCACCAACTAATGATCAGTTTCCTCATTAAGTACCAAACAGTGTCCACAACCTGGGAGGGAAGAAAGATCAGGTAGGTTTTGCTTTTTGTCTCAGAGGTAGTGACAAAAGTGAAATACACAGGGAAGAGACTTCCCTAGATGAGGTCAAGTCAAGGCTTCATGATTGCTGGGAGGGATGGTATAAAGTTACAGGTACTGAATGATGGTCAAACTGTGTGAACCTCAAGGGTCCCTTGTAACTCAAGAGACTGATTTTGGATCACTCCACACAATGGCAGAAACTCACCTTGGGGGGAAGTTTTAAGTCTTAACTTTTGGAGAAGGAAATGGTAACCCACTCCAGTATTCTTGCCTGGAGAATCCCATGGACGGAGGAGCCTGGTAGGCTACAGTCCACGGGGTCACAAAGAATCGGACACGACTGAGCGACTTCACTTTGACACCTAGAGGACACACTTAGGTGGGAATTTCTAACCACTCCCCTCACCTTCTAGGATTTGGGGAGAAAATTTCTCACTACCCCTCTCATCCTAAAGCCTCAGGAATGAACACTGGATACAGTGGGCTAGGGCAGACCTGGCGGTGGGAAGGAGTGATCAATCCCTGGGTATTCCTTCAGTGACTCAGTGACACTCAGACACAGTGGGGGGACATGGGATGACTTGGTCTTTCAAGACTAAAAGAAAAGCAAGCAAGCAGGAGGCAGCATGGCAACAGGGGGACAGAGAATCAGAAGCGCACAGGAGCAAAGGGCAGGGACCATCAAGGGACACAGCGGACGGCACACAAGAGAACACAGCGTTTCCCCAAAGTCGAGCATCCACCTTCCTCCTCCAGATTCTGCCACTTGTAGGTATCACCTATCGTATAACTTAACAGTTCCCTTTAAGAAGACTCTTCTTAAAAAACTTATTTATCCTCATCATATAAGGCAAAAGTTCCAGTTATATTTCTAATATATATTAGAATAAAGCATAAGTATTAAAATAAAAATGTATCCCATATTCCACCTAAAATCACCTGGCCCCACAGAGGTCCAGCTGCCAGTCTTTGACACATGCTGGGAGCCATGAGTCCTGAGCCTGAAGTTTGGTCCTGACTCCAGCCTCACCTCTCAGCATGATCCCCCATCTTACAGTGAAGGAGAACCAGGTAAATCTTAATGCTGCCCTGCATGGCTCCAGCAGGTTAGTGGATTTCTCTGTGACTGGAAGAGGTACCCACCAAGGTGACATGTTAGCAGGATCCTAGAAACATCCTGGTTTCTGCTCTTTTGGGGTTAGCTTGGACTTCCCTGGTGGTTCAGACGGTAAAGAGTCTGACTACAATGCGGGAGACCCAGGTTCGATCCCTGGGTTAGGAAGATCTCCTGGAGAAGGAAATGGCAACCCACTCTAGTATTCTTGCCTGGAAAATCCCATGGACAAAAGAGCCTGGTAGACTACAGTCCATGGGGTTGCAAAGAGGCAGACACAACTGAGCAACTTCACTCACTCACTCAAAGATGATGAGGGGGTAAGACATCTGGGAAAAAAGGAGGGAGGGACAAGAAGGCAGTCTAGTGTAGAAGGAGGAATGTCAGACTTGAACCCAAAATACTGCATGCCCGCTTTCTAGCTGAGTGCAAGTTTTTTTTATTGTTAAAATAAGGCTAACCATGCCCCCTTTCCCTTTATACAAAAGCTCCTCAACTTTCACTCAACCTCATCTTTCAAAAATTATATGCCAATAATACTAAACTAACTATTGAAAGTCCCATTCAGACCTACATACAGAAGGTGGATGACATTTGGGCCTTTCCCAGTTCAGTTTTGGCAACTTTGCTAGTGGAGTTAGATTAAGAAATGTACTGCATTACTAGCCTTTTTTTTTTTTAGTAATAAGCTTTAACTGACACAAAGGACAAAGATGGACAAAAGTATGTGAGGTGGTAACTCTTACAGATTGATCTGGTGTTCACTGGACTTAAATCTGGTCAAATTTGTGCTCAAAATAAGGGAAAAGAACAAAAGTGAAGACTTTCTGGAAATTTATGAGCCAAGATTGTATCTAAAAGACACAGTGAGGGAGTCAGTAATAGGAATCCCTCCTTATAATGCATAAATCTAGAGTCATATTTACCACATTCGATTTCTGTTTATTTTCAGGAACACATTATGCTCAAAATGCTATCTTATCTCATAGAAGGTTTAAAACAGTCTACAGCAAAATACAAACAAGTAAGTCTGGACAAGAGCCAATATAAATCAGAAGACCAAAAACATTAAAAAAAATCTATGTACTTTATTATGTATAAATTAATATCTAAAACATATCTCCATTTTAAAATGTAAAAAAAAAAAAAAAAAAAACACAAAGAAACAAACAAAGCCAGAGGAAGGTGAGAACAAAAACACGGATGACAGAGTCTACAGTTAGAAAGTTGAACTAAGCTTCCTGCCAGCCAAAGTTAAAAGGGAAACGTGACCACTACCTTGTTACAGAGGCTTAGATCTGAGTTATAGATTCTTGTCACAGAGACTTAGATCTGAATACTTAGATCTGAAAACGATTTCTCTTTATGTGTTTTCGATGAGAGACAGATCCTAGGACAACCCACAGTACATACATGAACTCGTTTCCTAAGACCAGCTCTGACTGTGACCTCAGTGTTAGCTGGACTGAACATCTCTGTAGCAGGAGGGTGGTGGGCAGGCGATGGAGGTCAAATGAGCAGCTTGGAGGCTCACATGAGACGAGGAGTAAGAGTTCAGGATACCATGAAGCGCAGTGTGAGCCTCAGGTCAACCGTTTAACCCCGAGCTCTGGGCGCACGAGAACTGGAGAGGTCTTGATGCTGAGACTGACTCAAGGGGTGCAGAAGTGACGTCCCCATGTGAATAATCCAGCTAAGGCGGCTCTGACATCAGCCCCGTCCCAATCCAACTCAGAAACAAATGGCTTACTTACAGGCTGCTCTTTGCAAAATAGCAAGCACAGTCTTGGGCATGTCCATTGAGCTCCCTGGAGCAGAGGCTACTAACTGGGCCCCCACAGCCATTTTCTCCTTCACCTTTCAGTCACAGAACCCCCGGCATTTTAACTGGGCACATGACCACCCAAATAAGAGGCTCTCTGTCCCAGAGCTCCTCTCAGCCAGGTGTAGCCAGAGTGACTGGAGCAACTCCAGGTCATGGCCTTTATAAAAGAAAACTGTTCTCTCTCTCTTCCCCCAGGGGAACTGGACATGTTGCTGATGATGCTCTGAGCCGCCCAAGGACAACGCCCCAGGGGTGGCTGAACAGCGGGCTCAAAGGAAACCAAGTTCCTGATGACCTTGTGGAGTTAAAGTCTGCCCTGGACTATCTAATTCCCTCTGTACTATTAGAGAAGAGAAAAATAAACTCCTAAGAGCCTCTGTACTTTAGGTTCTCCTTATAGCCGTTTAGCCTGTGCTTTAGTATCATTCACTACAGAAGGGAAAGATGGCCAGACCGGAGACTTCAGAGGACTCAGGCAACACCCTAGAAAACTGAACTCACTATTTACCTCAGCAAACAGGTCAGAAAATGACAGCCATCAAATAAGCTTGGCCTCCTGCTCCTTCCCCAGGAAAGGCCCAGCCACATTCTCTGAGCGCAGCCCAAATGCAACACAGTCCACTGTGGACCTGGACCAAGTCCTCAGGAGCTGGTGACACAGACTGCCTTCCCACCGACACTCAGCAGGACTCCCATCCGACCTTTTCCCCTAAAGCAGGAGAGCTCCAGACGTCTCCGCTCTGGATAATCACTGTTCCTGAGGACAGGCCAAGCCCAGCAAGGCGGGGCCTGAAACAGCTGTGGCGGGGGAGGCGCAGGAGCGACTGTGTGTGAGGGTCAGTGGAGGGGAGTCCAGCGCCCCAGAACAAAAGCCACAGCTGGGAACTAGACAGGGAGGGACACCTTCCTGTCTGCCCAGGATTTCCAGGGTCCTGAGGCCTGAGGGTGCAGCGCCTGCTCCTTCTGTAACACTCCCGCCCTCCCCCACGCCCCCCGGTGACAGAGCTCAGCCCAGCAGCTGCCAGTCGCTAACGAATCCCCGCCACCGGCACCTGCTGCTGCTTGCGGATCTTGTTGAAGAGTTCCATGTACTGGACCATGGTGTCCGCTGGGCTGTAGACCGCATCGTGTCTGCTCCCGAACACTGCGGGCGCCCCTGGCGTGTGGCTGCCCAGAAAGCTCTGCAGGAACTCCAGCAAGAGGCTCCAGCAGTCGCTAGCTACCACACAGGGGCCATACTCCACCTGGGGACCAAGAGCAGGGGATGGAGGGTGAGTGAGGGCACGGACAGGTCGTCTGCCCTCTGCATCCATCTTCCCCAACCCAGAGACCATGACACACACCTTCCAACCCACAACTGCCCCGCAGGAAACATCCAGCTCAAACACCAGGAACTGGAAACCCTTAGCACTGTACCCTTTAAGCTCAAACATTCTCAGCTTGGGATTATCAACACACAGCCCTGCGCACAAGACCCAGAAGCATAGCTCAGTCCCTTCAAATTATCTCTGAACTTTATAGTCCCAGCTATGATGGGTGTAGATTCATGGACAGCTCGGGAAAATTTATGAGAGAAAACGAAGAGCAGGAGAGTCTGTGAGTGTGTGTGAGTTGGGGGAATTGACAAGAGGGCAAAGTAGCCACATAGGCCCATAAGTGACTTCAAGACCAACCGTTACTCCCAAGGTAGATACAACCTGGGCTCTGACCCTAAGAAATAATTTCCCAACTCATGTGACAGGGGCTGAAGGATACAGATCTTAGGCTTGCTCATTCTCCTCTCCCAGTTTTTCACTGGAGAGATGGCAGGGGAAATTACTGGCAACTACAAGGAGAAATAAGTAAAGAAACTGCCAGGTGCGTTTGTGTTACAAAGTAGAAAACATGGAGGATAAACAAACAGTGGGTTCCCCATGGGTCTTGGCAAATTCTCTGTGTGTTATGAATTGAAAGAGTCAGGACATCTTAGCTCTAGAGGTCCCTGGAGTGTCTCAGTAGTCATGACCACTAACGCCCTTTTCTCCACCTGTGCTGCTTTTGAGGACCTACCTATCCCCAGGTCTCCACATTTTAAATCCCTCCTTAAAGGCCACTCCTGCAGGAGGTATCACAGTCTAAGTCAGCAGTGCTCTCCGCCCTGAACTCCCAGAGCAATCTGTGCTGCCTTTATGGCATTTCTTACAGACTAACTTCAAAAACAGCTCATATGTTTGGGCCTGGTTCTCTTACTAAGTCATAAATGTTCAAAAGGAAGGCCCTGTAGTTTATTCTTTTTTTCAATCTCACACAGTGCTGGGACTGTGGTAGATGGTACAGACTCTCACTGATCCCAAAGCCAGCTACTGTCACACTCCATCTTTGTCATTTTCAATATATGTCATAGATGAAATCATCACACATACCATGAAAGAAAGCAGACAGCATGTCAAAGGGAAGGGTACATCTTTGCTTCAAAACTTTTGAGTGGTCCCTCCATGTAACAGTTCACCTGCCCCTCCTTGACCATCCCTCCTCTTCTCCAGCAAGCCAGCCTTCCCAAGCTTTCTACCTGCTGTGAATCCAGCTCCCCATTCCCATCCTGGCCTAGAGCGTCCCTAAGTGATTAAAGAAAGGATAAAAAATGCAGGGTAAGGAAGCGCAGCTGCTCTGCAGACAGGAATCAGGGAGGCAGACTCCTCTGCCTGCATTCAGGGTCGCGGGAATCTGCAGAGCCAGGCCCTTCACCACATCTGCTCTCGTTCACCGAGGTCTTACCTCCACGGAGATGCCTCGGGCACTGGGCCCCATTGTGACCGTGCCCACCTTCACTAGGAAGTCACAGTACTGGTAACGGGTGCCCCGGGTCTCGATCTTGCTGGCCTTGGCACTCTGGAAAAAGCCCTTGAGTTTCACCATAAGCACGTCAAAGTTGGTGTCAGCAACCAGGCAAGGGCCATTCTCAAAGAGGGCGAAGCAGCTCAAAGGGTACTCAGAATTGTGCATCACATACATCAGCTTCCCGGCCTGACCTGCAAGGGATGGAGATCCTGCTCAGCGACAAGACCTTCCTCAGCACAGCCCGGGGTAGAGGCCAAAGTGCTGAACGGGGCCAGGAAACAATCCAGCATTGCCCCGGCAGTCCTGGAGGGCGGAGGAGAGAAGGCCCTCACCAACAGCCTTTTCCAGAGGACCAGCAGCCAGGCAGCATGTGGCAGAACCCACCCGATCTACAGAAAAAGGTGATGGGCACACTGGAACTTTTGATGGTCCAGATAATGGTTTAATTCACTTTTTTTCCCCAGCTTTTATATTTATTTCTGATAGTTGGGAGTAAGTTTTGCACCTCATTATTTGTAGTCAACCCTGCATTTTTGCATCCTGGTTGTTATGCATTTTGGTTTTTAGTTTCTATTTTCTTCTCTCTTGCTCTTTTTTCTTTTAGCCACACCATACAGCATGTGGAATTTCCCTGGCCAGGGATCTAACCTGCACCCCCTGCAGTAGAAGCACAGAATCTTAACCACTGGACCACCAGGGAAGTCCCTGGTTTAACTCTTAAGTTGAGTGATGGGCTCACAGATGGATGATTAACGATGATGATTAATAACTCACACAAGATTTACATATGGTCTTCTGTATAGTCATAGATTACATAACAAGGAAAATAAAAGTAACAGCATTTGAGCACACCACACGAAGCAGCTGCTCTCCTCTTTGCCCATCACTCCCTTCCTTGGCCTCCTCCCTCTTTGAAACGGAGGAAATGGCCCCACAGAAGCAGCATAGGGGAGAATCTGGATGGGAGGCCAGAGCCTTGTCTTCTGTGCCCAAGTTTAGACTTCATCCTAAAGACAACAGGGGGCCTTTGGAGAATTTTAAGACATCTAGCCGACTTAGGAAGCAAGCAGTACAACTGTAGCAGAAAGAACTTGGAATCTAGATCAGAAGATCCAGTTTTAAATCCCAGCTCACTGGTTCCAGTCGCTGGGAAGTGAGTTTTCCAAGTCCTTAAACTAGCCCCAACACTGTGCTAGGGCTGAAGAGGCATGTAAGTAGAGGACTTAGCCCCTGGCCTCAAGAAGCTGACAATCTCACTGAAGACTGTCATTTTCCTTCCCTGATAGCTCCGTTGGTAAAGAATCCGCCTGCAATGCAGGAGATCCCTGTTCAATTCCTGGATTGGGAAGATCTGATAGAGAAGGGATAGGCTACCCAAACCAGTATTCTTGGACTTCCCTTGTGGCTCAGCTGGTGAAGAATCTGCCTGCAATGCAGGAGACCTGGGTTCAATTCCTGGGCTGGGAAGATCACCTGGAGAAAGGAACAACTCCCCACTCCAATATTCCGGCCTGGAGAATTCCATGAACTGTATAGTCCATGGGGTTGCAAAGAGTCAGACACGACTGAGTGACTTTCACTTTCATTGAAGATAGGTGGAAAACTTTTTAAAAAGACCATGAAACCAAAGTGTCTGCCTGATGACAGACCAGCAGTCTTTGGAGGGAAGGAAAGACTTCAGGGAAGGAAGTGGTCAAAGTGGCAAGGGTCAGTTGGAAGAACCTTCATGGAAAAAATAGGACCTGAAGTAAGATACGAAGAGAGGGTAGGATTCAGGCAGGGATGAAAGTACAGCAATGGAATGGGTGCAGAGACAGGTGGAGGCCTCTATGCAGGCCTCCACTGTGCTACCACTGCAATCGGCTCCGCACCAACCTCGCCCCACATCCTCCCAACTGCCCGCTGCATATTCACACCTTTCACCTGGAAAGCCTAGTTCCAAACATTTTAATCCTCCAATAAAGATATCCAAAGCCAATGTGTCATTCTGTTCTTGTGCAGACTGTGTTTACATACTTAATTCATATTACAGGAGTCTGGAAGTGTTTTTACTCTCCTGAAAAAATTCTGAAAAGCTTTTGGTCCCCAACCAGCCAGCACCCACATCACTACCTGGGAATCTGTTAGAAATGTATATTCTCCACCCCACCCCACACCCACTGGATCAGAAACTCTGCGGGGGTAGGGAGGAGAGGGGAACCCATCCATCTGTGTGATAACAAGCCTTCCCTCTAGGTGATGCTAAAGCTAGACAGTGTGAGAACTTCTGATTTAAAGGCACAGAGCCAGTAAGCGACAGAACTGGAACTCTAATCCAGGTGTCCTGACTCCTTCCATCCTACCCCACTGCCCACTGAGAACCTGCTGTTTCTCCAACTAGACTGTAGCTCCTTGAAAGCAAAAGTCTGATCAGGAAAACAGAGCCCAAGCCAGGGAGTGTCACAGAAGTAGTATGTCATCTTATATCTGTATACTAGTGTTCTGTTTTCCAGATGCTTTCATAACTGTTCTCTCTTCTGATTCTTATATTCTGCCTTTTGCAGGCAAAACAAATGTTAACATTGCAATTGCACTGATCGTAAAATTCAGTACAGCTCTTAACCTACCATTTATTAGCATTTATTCCATGACAACCTTGGTTCGAAGGGCTTTGTGTGTACTACCTTATTTAACTAGGAGATAAATACTGGAATTATCTTCATTTTGCAGACAACTGTACTGGGAAGGGTGCAAAAACAGAGCCCACACAGGTAAGTTTCTTTAGAAGGGGCTTAATACAGGGAACGACGTACAGGAGTTGGTAGAACTGAAAAATCCAATGGAATGGTGAGGTCACCCAAAGATTAGTAACACAGGGAGCTGCTACCATCCCTAAGGCTAGAAGAAAAAAGGGCAGATGTGCTCTTCTGAGAGCCAGGAACAAGGGTTGCCTAACAGGAGGAAGAAACACAGTCACAGCCAGAGACACAGCCTAAGGCAGAGGGACAGGGAGAGAGGCTGTTTCTCTTTTTCCTCCTCCCTCCCATTTTTGCCAGTGCCTTTCACTGGCCAAAGGGAACTAAATGGGGGCCGGGCAAATGTAGTTCATAGGAGCAGGGCAGGGAATAAATCCCTGGGGAAACAGGCAAGTGACCTGCACAGGAACAATCACAAACTGCAGAATTACCTAAAGATGCAGCTAGTTGTGGCAGGCAGGACTCTGTTATCTGGTTCCACGGTTTAGGCTTATTCACTGTGCTATGGAACCGTCCAAAGTCAAATTACTGAAGAGCCAAGACTAAAAGACCCCAGGTTCCCTAACTCCTATTCAGAGATCCTCTTTACCTCCCTACCACCACCACCACCACCAGCCACAACGCATCTCAATTCGAAATACTAAAACAAAGGTTAATTCATCTATCAAGGTTATGCTAAGGTGGTAGCCAAGGCCACTGGCTAGGTGTGGGAAACAGGAAGCTTTTCTATAGAAAAGTTCCCCAAGCTCTAAAGCTCCAACAGAATCATATACAAAGGCTTCTGAGCTTAAAAGGAGACTTTTTCAAACTTTGGAGTGAATAAAGATCACCTGTGAAACTTACTATAATGTAGATTATGACTGATTAGCAGTGAGTCTGTAAGCTGGGCCAGGAATCTGCACCTCTAACAAGCAACCCAGATGATTCTGAGAAAATTAGTGATCAACACTTCGAGAAATGAGAAGTGCTTTAAAAGTACAAAAAGACTACAACACAGGCCCAGACTAAGAGATGAAGGGAAAAATTAATGAATTCAGAAACACATATACCACATATCCAAGACCGCCACCCTCAGCAGAAGAGCAGAAAGATTCCAACGAACATGAACGTCTATTAACTCCAAAACAGGTTCCAGTCATCCCACAGGCCCAACTCTCACTGACCTTGGCTGCCCAGGGTAGAGGCAGCTGTGTGGTAGGTCTCACAGTCCACACAAAATGTTCCTTGCTTCTCTGCTCCAAGCATCTCCAATTTTCGGGTGAGGAGCTCCACAGTCTGCTGGACACTCTTGCCCTCAGCCACGGGCATCTGGGACACACTGGACGGAAAAGAACCAAAATCATCAATGAGTCATTCACTAGCCTGCAGAATCATAGCTCATCAGGGCCTGAATGAGCATAGACACCATTAACCCGAACCTTCTCATTTTAAAAAGAAGGAAACAGGCCCACAGTCTCTGAGAACACCACTAAGAACCAGAGCAGGTCTCAGGACGCATACCAGTGCATTGAACTTCCTGTCTAGAGCACCTCCGTTTACCGAGTGTGGCAAGCATGCCAACGTCCCAGAGAAGATTTTAGGTGGCACACAGGCTGAGCATTCACTAATACAGTCATAAGATGAGAAAGGGATTTCTTCTGCGTTTCTTTCAGTTTTGACTACATCAGGAAGAAAGCCTCAACTTGGAATTATTATTCCAATTATTATTACTCTCTTTAACACTTTGCATGCAAGCTGTCCAGCACAGTAGCCACAAGCCACATGCGACTGTTTACACTTAAATGAATAAAACAAACTAAAACCTCAACTCCTCAGCTGCAAAACCCACATTTCAAGGCTTGACAGCCGCAAATGGCTGGGAGCAGTGCTAATACAGAACATTTCCATCAAGGCAGAAAGTTTTAAGGATCCTGGGAGCAAAGAGAAAGCAAGCCTCAAGTTTCTAATCCTTGGAAGTGAAAGGCAACAGCATGTACGCGAATTTAACCAAAACAACAAAACAAGAAGTCATTTCCAAGATTCCCTTCTATGGTGAGGGAAACTGGCTCCCCCTTTACAGAGCGGCAGGTAACAATCACCAAGGACCAACTATGTGCCAGGTGGTACCTAAAGACCTTTCAATGAACTAACTCTGAATCCTCACATCAGCCCTGTAAGATATACAATTATCTCTTTGTTACCAATGAGGAAAGTGAAGTACACAGGGGCTGAATAACTCGCACAAGGTCACAAAGCTTGGTGTGGTGTGGCCAAGAGTCAAAGCCAGGCAAGCTGGCTCCATGTCTGTGCTCTTAACTCTACCAGAATGCTTCCCCAGGAATACAGTGGTCTGTTAAAATACTTCTATGGAAAAGAAAGAGGATTAAAACAAGACATTAATAAATAATAGTTCAAGTGCGACATGGCTATTTAAAAATCTTAAGTACAATCATATGTGGCTGAATGTTGGGGGACACGGCATTACTTTAAGATCAACCAAAATCAACTAAATGAAGCAACAGAGTCCTACTGTTACTAAAACTGCCTCTAATCTCCACCAGAAAAAGCACTAACAAATAATGATGATGATGTGCCTTATTGTGAAATATAACAGAATCCCTAAGGTGATGCTACTGCGGTCAGAAGTCCTAGAAGCCTGAAAAAGTTGAGAAGCATCGCAACAGAGAACCCTTTCCCCACTTGCCTTCTGCCCTGAAAGAACAGGTATTTCCAGGGTTTCATGCCTCTTTGCAGCAAACTTTTTTTTTTGGTTGCGCCACAAGGCCTGCAGGATCTAATTCCCCAATCAGGGATTGAACCCGTGCCCCCTGAAGTAGAAGGTGCCTCCCGAAGTGGAAGCGTGGAGTGTTAACCACTGGACTACCATGAAAGACCCTAGCGAACTTTTCATTCCCATTCTTCCCATCCCTCTTACACTACAGGACTTTGAACGAGGCTCATGATGTCAACTTCAGGAAGCAAATGTGCAGTCACTGACAAATCTGCAAGACCTGGGCTACCAGGAGATCCCACAGGGTCTTATATGAGAATCCTAAAGCCACTGTCTTCAGATAACCTGGCCTCTAAGCCCTCTCTGGGAGAGACGCTCAACACATGTATTTTTTAAAGCCCTGAAATCTAGCATTTTGGAACTAATGACTCCAAGAGAATTAAGCCCATACCTTTCCCTCCCACACTGACTTATAACATGTTAGAAATAAGTCCACAGAAACTAAACCAACCGTGTAATTAGACAGAATAGGAAACAGGCCCTGAAGAGGTGATGTGCCTGGAATTCCTATCTCCTAATTTCCACAGCTCCTTTTTTTCCTCCAGACTCAAGATCTTACAAGGCAAACTAGAACCAGACACATGCTGATCTAACTGCATTTAGTGGCTGTAGATAGGGACAGGCAAAAGCCTAAAAAAGATACTATCTCCTTGTTCCCTATCCCCTACCCATCCAAGCCCTGCCTGCAGACGGGTCCGAGTCCCGACATCCTACTTTCAACCCTAAAGTTCTACCCCGGGCTTCAAGGTCAAGAAACTGTACCAAGAAAAAAGGAAGGAGGCACACGACCATTAACGGGTTCTTAAACCCTTTTACCTGCCGCCTTCCAGGAAGAAGGGGCGAATCTCCGAGGAAAAGGGCCTGCAGATTCTGCAGCCCTCACGGTGGCCCCCTCACCCACACAATCCGAGGACATTTTGCTCATCTTCCGGGGGACTGCGGACCCTGGTCGGGATCCTCCTCCCGGGTATATTCGAGGCTCCAGGGGCCTTCAAGCCCCCAAACCCCGCTCCACAAAGTCCTCTGAAGTCCTACCAAGTCACTCCCATGGTGTCGGGCCAGGAGGATGGGAGGATCAAACAAGTGAAATGCAGTATGCTCCAGCAGCCCACACGAGGCGAAACCACCTCGCTAAAGCGAGCTCCGACGGAGGGAGGCGCTCCGGAACTTACGTAAAAACACAGCGCCCAGTCGACGCGCTCGCGAGGAATGGGGGCGTGTCTAGGTCCTTCGGTGACGTCACTGTCCGACTCCGCCCCACCCCACCCCCCTCCACCCCCAGATCCATGAAACTAGGAAAGTGTAGCTCGGACTACAACCACTTAGAGAAGCCAACGTTAAATTCGGGAGGACCCAGCTCCAGGACCCCTGAGCTCTTTTGGGGGAGTGGGACGGGGCTTCTGGCACACCCGGCCTCCAGACGCGAGGGGGCGCTGTGAGCTCCGGTGGGCTCTTGGATGCTGGGTGTTTACTGCGCAAGCGCACTCAGGGCTTTTTCCTCTCCATACCCACGTGGGAAGCTTTACGGCCAGGTTTTCGCGAAAAATGCCCAAGTTCAAGGCGGCCCGCGGGGCCGGGGGTCAGGAAAAGCATGCGCCGCTGGCCGAGCAGATCCTGGCTGGGGAGGCGGTGCGGGCAGGAGCCCGAGAAAAACGGCGGGGTCGCGGAACCGGAGACGAAGAGGAAGAGTACGTCGGGCCCCGGCTGACCCGACGGATTTTGCAGCAAGCGCGGCAGCAGCAAGAGGAGCTCGAGGCCGAGCACGGGAGCTGGGACAGGCCCGCGCCGCCGCGGGAGCGCACCACGCGGCTGGGTGAGTGGCGGGGATGGGGTACGAGGAGGAGGGTGGGTAGCTGGGGCGGACGGCTGAAAGGTGTCCGGCAGGGGACTAGCTTGGAATTAAAAAAAAAAAAAATGAGGGCCTTGGCAAAGGTAATGGGGTGGGAGACCCAGCTCTGGGGCAGATTGAGGGTTGCAGGAGCCCTCCACGCCCACTCCTTAGAGTGGCACTCTTTTAGGCATCCCCGAGGTTAGGCCAACAGGAAGTGGTTACTCAGGCCGCTAAGTTCTCCTAGCATTTATTTATGTTTTGTAAGTAATCATGGAATGTCTACTGCGCACATCCCACCGTGCTAGGAGTTTAGATGGTTTAGGTAAAAAAATGTAAATAGGATAAAGGTATACTTGACTACAGGATCTTACAATGTCGCCCAAGAGAGGGGGAATTAAATAAACAATTAGAATAATGCACTCGTGATAAAGTATAGTTCTTCTGATAACAATAGCATTAGTCTTGGGAGTCAGGCTTCCTAGATTGCATGATCATTGTGCTGAGAACTGAAAAGTGGGGAGTGCTCTGAGCACAAAGAACAATATTGTTTAAGGAATAGAAAGGGAGAGAGATTAACTAAAAGATGGTCATTTTTTGTTTGTTTTTATGCTGAGAGTGTTGACCTCCAAGTTGCTTAATCTATTTTGTCAACTCTCATCTTTCATTTGTCTGTGAGCAGTGTTCACAAACACTAGTCTCTTTGCTACAGTATCTGTACTCAGCTTCTAAGACATCACATCCCTGTTTTACTAGTTTTTCACCTCTCAGTGGGCTTCCCAAGTGGTGCAGTAGTAAAGAACCCACCTGCCAATGCAAGAGATGCTGGTTCGATCCCTGGGTCAGGAAGATCCCCTGGAGAAGGAAATGGCAACCCACCTGGAGAATCCCATGGACAGGGGAGCCTGGCGAGCTACAGTCAGGCAAAGTCCACAGGGTCGCAGAGAGTCAGACACGACTGAGTACACTCAAGCACCTCTCAGTATTGTTTGCTGGCTCCTATTCTCCGCCTCCCAACGCCTGGCTGGTGACATCTCGGTTCCCCCACCATTGATTGAACCCTAAGCCCCAGCAGTGAAAGCCCAGAATCCTTACACTAGGCCACCAGGGAACTCCCTCTGCTGACTCCTTTTGTCACCAACCTCTTATTGTAGTGCCATAGGGTTCCATCCTTGGAGCTATTCTCTTCACCTCTGATGACTACTCTGGTGCTGTTATCAGGTTCAAGGTTTAAATACTATTTGTTAACTGCTTCAAATTCATATTCCAGCCTCGATCTCTTCCATGAAACCCAAACTCTTGTATTTCAGCTCTCTCTTCAGCTTCTCCGATTTGAAGTCTAAGAAACATCTCAGATTTAGCATGTCCAGAACAGAAATCCTGACCATCTTGCCAAACCTGCTCCACTCCCAATCCACTTCACCGCAATTAATGACACGATGTCCTTCCATTTGCTCCAGACAGAAAACTCAGACTTGTTTCTTTCTCACTCCATGTCTAATCAATTAGGAAGTCCTGTTGACTCTACCTTTAAAATATATCCAGAATCCGATCACTTGCACCATCATGGAACACCATCCTGTTCAAACCACAGTGATCTCTCACCTGGATGATTGCAGTAGCCTCTTACTGAGTATCCTGAATCTGCCACAGTGTACTCTCAGCTCAGCAACTTGAGGATTACCTCATCTACAGAGACCTGTATGATCTGCACCTGTTGTCAGTCTGACCTCTCCTACTCCTTTCCCCCACCGCCCTCTTCTCTCCATCCATATCAAACTAGTCAATTCTAAAGGAAATCAGTCCTGAATATTCATCATCGGAAGGACTGATGCTGAAACTGCAATACTTTGGCCACCTGATGCGAAGAGCTGACTCACTGGAAAAGACTGATGCTGTGAAAGATTGAGGGCAGGAAGAGAAAGGGACGACAGAGGATGAGATGGTTGGATGGTATCATCAACTCAAGTCCATCCACATAGGCTTCATTGTTCCTTAAACATGGCAAGTTAGGGCCTTCACCCTGGCAGGTCCTTCTGTCCTCATACACCTGTTGATTCCTCCCTTAATTTCTTCACCTGCTCAGAGAGGCCTTTCTTGACCATTCCATTAAAAATTGCAACACATCACCCCTGTCTCCACACTCACAACTTCTCTACTCTGCTGTATTTCTTGGTCGTGGCATTTGTGTTTTTTTAACATAATGTATATCGTATTAGTTCATAGTCTGTGTCCACCATGAGAACGTAAGTTCTGTAAGGGCAAAATGTTTTCCTCTTTTTTGCTGGCACCCACAACAGTGCCTCACATACGGTAGACACTCTCAGTGTTTGCTGAATGATGGTGAGGTAGATAAGAGCAAAAGCTACAAAAGTCTCAGTGGCTGCCCTGAAGAGTGGGAAACAAATAGAGACTAAGAAGACCAGTTAGGGGACTGTGGAATTACTCTAGACAAGAGGTGATACTGACCTCGGCTCTGACAGGGCTGTGAAAGCTTCGAGAGAGATTGTGTGAGGTTCAGTGGAAAAGGACTTGGTAGTTGATTGGGTGTTGGGAGTCGGGGGCAGTGGACAAGGCAGACCTGCTGCCTAGGTTCTGGCTTAGTGTTGACTGGATTGTGGTTCCATTTACTCAGATGTGGAACACAGTGAGTAGTGTAGACCTAGGAGGGAAAGGGAGTGACAGACCAAAATTGAAGTGCTTGTGCGTCATCCATGAACAAGCTGTACAAGGGGCAGCTGGCGTTAGGGTCTGAAGCAAAGAGAGATCATAACCCTACAGGTACAGATCTGGGAGCTGTTAGCATGTGAGACAGAAAATCTGGTACGTGTAACCCTCCCCCCTTATTTAGCTTTTATCACACAGTATCTCTGCGGGTTGTGTGTGTGTGTGCTGTACCTCAGGCCGTGTGGGATCTTGGTTCCCCAGCCATGCATGGATTGTATTTCTTGCTTCCTGCAGTGAAAGCACGGAGTCCAAACCACTAGACCACCAGAGAATTCCTAGCAGACATTCTTGGGCTTCCCAACAAGCCCTCCTGCCAGTGGTACCCAGGTCTAGAATACACTCCTCCAGCTCCCATACTGCTCATCCAGAGCCTAGGCATCCTTAGCATCCATCATCTCTTCTGAGTGCCTATGGTATACATCATCTCTGCATTGTGATACACATGTTACAATGATATACATTGTGACACTAATCAAGCCCCACCATGCGTGTGAGAAAGAGGTGGTAAATGTATAATCTAGACCCAGACTGCCTGTGGTAGGCAAGTTAGTCAACTTTCCTGTGCTTCAGCATCCCCATCTGAAACTGGGCATGATAATAGTACCTACTCCTTATGGTTATGGTGGTTATGTATGTTATGTAACAGTTTCTGTGTTCGATCTCGTTTCCTGCTATCACTGTCTCATTGGTTCATACATGTACATTTTGGTTCTCAAGCAGGACTGCACGCCCCTGGGGACTGGAAGGTAGTGTGCATTTATTATAAGCATGTGTGAGGCCCAGACCATAATCCATAATGGTTAAAGTTGAGTTGACCTCTGAATTCCTCACCCACTGCTTGGCCATGCTCACCCATCTCACCTCCCTCTTCCAGGTCCGGGAGTGCCGCAGGATGGATCAGATGATGAAGAGTGGCCCACCCTGGAGAAGGCTGCCACAATGGCAGGGCCGGGCTACCAGGCAGAGGTGGTCGTGGACCCCGAGGACGAGCGTGCCATTGAGATGTTCATGAACAAGAACCCTCCTGCCAGGTAGGGCTGGCATGGCCCGGGATTTGGGAAAGCAGGTCCTGGTAGCAGCTATGTAGGAAAGAAACTTGAGATGCAGAGAAGCGTATGTTCTGGCAGAGTTTTGAGTCCCCATCTCTGGGAAGGGCCTGAGCATTGCCAGTTTGGGGAGCCACCTTGACAAAAGTGGCACATCCTCTGAGGACTGCTCTGAACGAGAATGATGCAGACTCAAAATAGCTCCTCCCCTCTGTCCACCTGTCTTTGAACTTCCTGGATTACCTGGTGACATACTGCAAGGCCTTATTCTGTCTCTGGGCAATCCGTCCCATTGCATTTGGTCTTGGTATGCTCAGTTTTCTTAGCAGTAAGCTCGGTTTCTTTGACCACATCTCTTTCATACCCTAGCTGTCATTTTATCCAGGGTTTTCCAGCCCTTGCACCACTGGCATTTGGGGCTGGATGGTTCTCTTCTGTGGAGGCTGTCCTGTGCAGTGTAGGCTATTAAACAACATTCCTGACCTGTACCCACTGGATACCAGTAGTGACCCCCTCCCCGACACTGAACCAGAAATGTCACCAGACATTGT